GAATATTCCCCGGCTGGCCGAGGAAGGGTGGCTGCAATGGGTTGGGGGGGTGGGTGAGGTCGAGTGTGACGGTCGGGAAAGGGGCGGAGGCGGAGATGGTGGCCGTGGTGGAGGAGCAAGGGAGGAGGGCCCGCCTGAGGAAGTTGGTACCCATTAGCCCGTCGGCGCTTGGCATTGAGCCCGAGAGAAGCATTCGGGCGGCTGACGAGGTGGTCGAGGCCATGGACATGGCGGCTGGCGGCAAAGGGTGGTTGTGGTTGCCCTCGTAGGTGGTTATGAGAATGGTTGTGTCGTCCGCGCATCTTTGGACCTGCGTTCATTTGCTCGTGATTTTTTAACTAAATAAAAATAGTCTTTTTCACCAAAATGTATTACATTTTTCACATTGCTCCGACTGCTGATAAGTTAACTTTTTTACCCAAGAAAATACCTATATATGGTTGATGAAAATGCCACATTTACACGGATCATAAGTTTTCGCACTTTTTTGGGTTGAAAAAGTTATAGTGCGAAGGCATTGTAGGATGAAAATGCGACAATTACAATTACTATGCGACGGTTATGCGGTCCATACGTACATACGCATACTTTCTAAGGTGAAAAAGGTCAAATTGTTAGCAAGAGCGGTGTGAAAAACTTAATGTATCTTTTTATAATAGGGTGAAAAAGATGATCTCCCATAGCTAAAAGAGCGTGTTTTAGGGTGATTATATAGGTTGATAGAGAAAATGTATATGCGTAATCCGATAATTTAAACTGCAGAAGATTATTCGAAAACTTGTGGGAAGAATGAAAAGGAATATATGAACAAAGACATACTTGCTTTCGGACGGGGCAACCAGTGGCCATGGTGCAACGGTAGTATGCGCGAGGCCATGGGTTTCCCTTTGCGATCTTTTGTCCGTACTTTCGCCATTGGCATCCGTCCGTGATCTGTCCATCCATCCAAAACCCCAAAACATATTGTTTCAAATACATCGTGCAACACAAATGCAAATGGTAGTGTTAGGCTGCCTAAATAGCTACTCATCACTTATACTATGAAATGTCATACTTTTGTTTATATTGTACCTAATATACTATGAAATATCATATTTTTGTTTATATTGTACCGAATAGCACGGTATTTGTGTACGAAAGTTAAGTATGTACATCTATAATCATGTAAAAGTAAATCGTATACCAAATATGAAACTCAAAACCGAAGTAAATTATACGGACACACGAGTCACATATTAATTAGATTAGAGTTAGACCACTATCCACGCATGTATACATACCATGGAGGCCTCAGACCTAGCGCGAACCGACACTCGAGCCTTCCTCATGGTGGCCTCGGTGGCTTGGTCGGCACTTCCACGGTAATGGCCTTGCCCGCCCGCAGCCCTACTACTTTCCGGCTCGTCTCTTTCCTCGACTTCCTTCTCGTGCGACTCGGGAGATTGCCTGCTCGTTTGACCATCAAACGGAGACCCCAAGGCATCCTCATTAGTCGAGGCAAAACCGAGATCCATGAACTGGCGGAGCCCGTTGCTTTCGTGGGCGCTTGTCTTGTGCTCCTCGGCGATTTCGTCGTGCCTTTGCTCGGGTTTTTGTTGCCACGTAAGCGCGAGTAGATGCGTATGTAGGCTGTTGTAGCTGTTCGTCGTCTGATTTAGCATTTCCCTCAGGCGACGATTTTCGGAGCTCAGCCTCTCCATCTCCGCCTGGACTACGGCCATCTGACACCGTTTTGACACAATTTTACAATTTAATGGAGAAAAAAAATTGCAAACATATTAAAGGCGAAATATAAGGAGAAAAAAAATTTAAATAAATAAAGGAAATTATAAGGTTTCACCTCATTTTTGGACTTTTTGTCTTCTGAGTTGAAAGAAACTCCATCGTCGACGATCGACTCGTCGCTGCCTGTGTTGGCCGTCAACAGGTGCAAGCCAGTCTGTACACGATTTCAAATATAATAAAATGAAATTAATTAAAATAAAATAAATTGAAGTTGCATATAATATACACAATTTAAAATATAAATAAATAAATAAATAAATAAGATAAGATGAAATAAAATGAAAAAAAAAATCGAATTAAAATCTCAATTTGAAGCGAAAACCCCAAAATCGTACGTTCACTCTACAATCCAAGGCGGGGGGATCGCGGCCAGCGAAAGGCTCCGTCCTGCCGGCCTCTTCGGCGTCGGCGTCGGCGTCGGCGGCAGACTGTTTCCTGTCAGAGAAGAAATCCATCTCGTCGATCACCTTGCGCTTCCCGTGGGGGTTCCGATCGTCGCGATCGTAGGAGAGGGTCACCGGGAACTGTATGGTGGCGGGCGGCGAGTTGACCGGCGTGGCCATGGGCGGCGGCGGAGGTTTTGGGTTGATTCTGAGTTGTTGTTGGCAGTGGTGTGATCTGGACAAAAGGGGAGTTCACTTTCGTTAATGGCAATAATATATGATATACAATACATATATATGTATATTGTGTATGTATCTTGGTTTTTGATTGGGAAATTGAGTTTTGGGTGTTTGGTAGGAGAGGCAATTGACTAGGCTAGAAAAATGGGAAGGGGTTAGGATTGCTTTGTTGAAAGAGATTGGTGGGATTTTGGTTGAAAATGTTATGATCCCGTTACGATATCATCTCATCTCATCGCATGTTTTAATCGGGACCGTAGCATTTCCCCTAGTTTACTATATTGGACTAAGAGTATCTTCAATGGTAAAATGTAGAAGTAGTAAATTATATTTTATATTAACAAATTTAAAAACGTCTCTACTTTTACTTCTACAATGCACAGTGTAATTACAAATGTAGTGATGAGGTGAATACAAAATATCTTATGTGATTCACAATTCATCTAAATACAAATGTAGTTAACTCTTTCAATGCTAACCATCTATAGTTGATAGCTAATGTTAAAAGAAAACAAAAAAAAAACAAAAAAAAAATAAAAAATGGTGTTGTGCCTGGTCGTCGGTCTAACCATTAGACCGACAAATCTACTTTTATAAATACACATATTTTTATTAAAAAAATATTATATTAATATAAAAAAATACTACAGTCCTGTCACAGAATGACTATTGAGTAAACTACTCAGACCATATCACATGTTTTTACCGATTTTGGTTGGTCAGATGAGATGTGGTCGTAATTCAAAATCGATTTGGCCTGATGATCGGTTCTCGATTAAATCGGTCGAGAGAGACCGGTTTAGGGCAGGTTTACAAACCCTTATAAATGTATCAAAAGATTATAATTGAAATTAACTCTATAAAATGTGTAAAAAAAAAATATATAGTAAATTGTATTTCTATAATAAAATATTACAACTCTAACAAGATAAATTTTAACCTAACATCAAGTTGTTATGTTGTATTACCTTCTAAACAGTGTTCTATTTATTAATTAATTAAAATTTATGTTCCCTATACCATTGAAATTGGTTTAGTGACATAATAAATAAAGTTTGAACATACTAACATATACAGATATATACCTCTTAAATAATTTACAATAATTATTATTGTAGAAAACGAAAATTTTACCCAAACTTATAAAAGATAAAAATAAATAAACTTCATATATGTAAAAAGTAAAAACCAACATATATAATCAAAGCCTTTGTACACATTATAAATGGCCCACTTCACGTGATACGATTTCAAACATTTCGGTAAATATCTTCAAAATTTAGTATCACCTTTCAGCCACACATGCTACCAAAATAAAGTTAAAAAATAAATACACAATAATAAAAAATAATGAATTATAAAGAAACAAAAAACTCAATGTTGAATATCAATTGTGAGTTGTTTCACATTTATTTCTATAGGAAAAATGAGCCTAATATATAAGCCTAGTGGGCTACTCCTTCCATCACCAATTGATTATACAATGAATTTCACTAAGGTGCATCTAGACTCACTCTCTTATGATGCGTTTCATCTGGTGGGACTGTAGTCTCTTTTCCCGTTTCTAATATGGTATCAGAGTGGGCATGTCCTATGACTTGCAATGACTCTCTCTACCCGCCTGCTCTGGGTTTGGGTTTATCTCTCTACCGGCCTGCTATGTGGGTTTGGGCTTACGAAGGACTCACAGGTAATGGACGTGTTAGAATATCACTTGTGAGTTGTCCTACATTGATTATGTAAGAAAAATAAGTCTAGTATATAAGCCTAGTTGGCTACTCCTCCCATCACCGATTAATTTTGAGATGAAATCCCACTATGTTGCATCTAAACTCACCCTCTTATGATGCGCTTCATCTCTTTCCCGTTTCAAACACCCAACTAAATGAAAGAAAATAGAAGAAAGTGGATAGTCAAAAGTCAAGGCTTTTATTGGAGAGATGTAATTGGCAATCAAGCATGGTCCAAAAGTTGGACCCAAGTCCAAAATATTATGATAAAATTAATTATGAAGGGAAAAAAGTGTACTTTGACATTAAATGCATTCATGGGATTTTGTCAAAAAAACGAAATGAGTTTGACGCGTTCACAAAATTCGCCGCCCCGCTTTTGCCGGCACTCACTCTTAAATATGTTCGAGGAATTATTGAGACACTAATATTGAAAAAAATTATTTTTAGACTTATTTTATATAGTGTACGATATCATGATTCGAGCTGTAAACGAGTCAAGTTGAGCAGTTGTCTTTTCGAGTCGAGCCTAATTTTTTTCGTTGTTGCTTGAGCTCAAGCTTGACTTTTTAAGGCCCAACTCGACTCGTAAAGATATAAAAAGGCACGAGATCGGGTTGAATTTCATTAGCTCGAATTTTGCTTGAGTGTGGCTCGAGTTTTCAATAAATATTTTTTCTGTTCAAGTAATACTTTTTTTTTAGTTTGGCTCGAGTTTAATTCAATTGTTATTTCGAATTTTTGCTCGAGTTAGTGATAGGTCGGGAAACTATACTTATACCCAAGCAGCTCGCCAGGCACTGGAGCTTGTAACAAACAAGCTCGATTTTGACTAAACTCGAGCTCTCTGACTCGAGCGTTTACAAGCAGCTCGATTCGTTATCCTACTTAAAAATTACTACTCTCACTTTACTATTAAAAACATAAACAAACCTTAATAACATAATTACACACTTTTCCAAAAAAATAGGTGATGGATGTTACCCTACCCTAGTGGTAAAAGGGCATTAGTTGGAGCGGTAAATTTTAAAAGTCATATTATAAATACAGTCCAATTAGAATGCTGTTGATCAACAATAATTTTATATTTTCCTTTAAATTGATTAATATACAACTAATTACGTCGGAGTTCAACGTGTCCCAATTAAATATGACATGCTATATACTAGGGGCGGAGCAAGCCTCATCATTCACCGGGGTCAGCAATATTTTTTAGTGGGGTCATTAACCTAGTAAACAGTGTTTGAACAATATTTTATACTAAAAATTTTGAAATCTATAGGAATCAGCTGACCCCAGCGGCAAGGTGCAGCTTCGCCCCTGCTATATACACGTAATCTATGTCAAATGACACGCTGGAATTTTATTTATCCAAAAAATGATAAATTTTAATATTTATGAGATTGTAGTCGGCCAATTGAATTGAAATCCAAATCTACGTAATTTTGAAACTCTTTCAGAATTGCGATGCTCATTGACACAATTGTATTTTTTTTTTAGTTCTATTACATAGCAATTTTAATTTTAAGATTTCAACATTTCGTTTTTTGTCATATGATTTAATATTTTGCTAGAATTTTAATAGTTAGAAGAATGAAATTGCAACAGATTTTCTAAATTCTCAAATTTTTAATTAACAATTTAAGTATTGTGATTTAAAATTTTGTTGCAATTTAGTCTTATAATTTAAGGTTGCAATTTCAGTTCTCAAATGATTGAAATTACTGCAAAACCAATAGTATATTGACACGTGTTCTATAAAATATAATTTTATCGAATTTTATTAGCATGTACTGTCAATTGACACATCGCATCTACGTCTCTTTATATGAATTTAATGCATTTTTAGTGTTTAACGTCATAACAATTTTAGTCCAAAGATTCTAACTTTTCGCCTTTTAGTCTTGTGATTTAATAAAATAAGTATGAATGACTCCATAAGTCGAGTCATCCAATGTCTTCATAACGAAACTGGATACTATTATATACCTAGGTATTTTTACATTACAAAAACATTATCATATTTCCACCAATAAAATATCAAAACCAAAATACAAAAAGTAAGCAAAATCAACAAATTGGTTTGACTTGTTTAAATAATTTCTTGAACGTTTTTTTGTTGATTCTGCAAATCCACGACAAATTGAAACAAAACGAGGAAACAAAATAATAATATAAAAAGAAAAAAAATCCAAAAAAAAAAGATTATTGGACCGAATCCTAGTAGAATCGTCGTTCGATTTGCAGCAGCTAGCTGGAGTCATATATAGCTGACTAATTATAAAATATGGTGCTAATTAATTTTATATTGTGCGGCATGTAATTAATTCATTATTAC